ACCAAGGAATATCATGAGCTCTTCCATAGTGAGCGGTGAGGTGATTCGTACGTTCTTGATTGGTAGCATAGAGATTTGTCTCCAGAACGACTTGCTTCCAGAAGTAGAGAGGCACGTACGCAAAGAAACTGGACGAGGCTGAGTGTACAAACAGGTGGCGATAGTTGTGTCTTCGTATTTTTTTCGTTGCGCTCGTACAGGTCATCGGGGGCAGCCATTTAAACATCAAGCCGGAATCGCATGTTTTTCACTGTTTCCACCTCTTCCAAGCTTGCAGGTAGGAATACGACGAGGTCGTACACTTGGTAGTGCTCATTGGATGTTGTCACTTCTAGCTCATCCAGCATGCATCCATCGGCAGCTCACTGTCCGTCACATTGTCCGTCAAATCACTCCACGCCGGTTTGTGGGTGAGCGCCCGAGAGCGTCGTAGTTTGCAATGCCCCATTGAACAACCGCCACACTAGATTTGGCACGGCATTTTGAAACTGACTGTCGATCCACAGCACTTGTAAAATGCGTCCGTTCTGGGGTTTCTTGACGCGCCGATAAACGCACCCAATAATGTACGCCGTGCCCGCACATCCAAATGTTTTCTCGCTCATCCACCGCTCTTTGGACGGTGCAAAGGCAACGTACTTTTTGAGAAAAAGTTGTTCGATCATGGGAGGTGGCGTGGTGCGTGGTGGAGTACCTAATCCAGCGGAAGTGGGGTGCTCTCCAACAGCTCCAGGTTCGTCACGTGAGTCTCCAGTATCGTTCTGTTTACGTTCACATTCGTCTCCACTTCGCGGTGCAACGCTACGACCACGGCCTCGACCACCACGACTACGAGCATCTCGTCCACGGCCACCACGGTCACCACGACCACGTCCGCCGCCGTTACTAGCCACAGATCCACCAGTATCAATTCCACCATTGCCAGACTGGACGTGGTATTGTCTAGCGCCGCTGCCACTGCCAGCACCACGACCGCCGCCTCCGGCATGACCTCCGACGCCAACGACACCGTCATCGCCACCTCCTGCACCTGTACACGCACACAGAAGGGAGGGAGGATGAACAGAGGGAGGGCGTCAGTGGGGCAGCAAGACGGCCGAGAACGAGCGGGACGGGCCGCAGCATAGTGAAAGCAGACTAGGTCCATGCTTCCGCAAAAATGATTGGTTCTAATTGGTGCTACTACGGTACGCTCTAAACTTTCCATAACTGACAGCGCATCTTATTTCTTAAAAAGCCCTTTAACCCTTTCGCGGTGTGAGGGCGCTTTTTTCGCCCTTTAACACTGTTTTCAAAACACGGTGAGAAACCCCCTTGTAAAAGGGCGATTTTTTCGCCCTTTTAGCTTTTTCCTACCCTATATTATAACTACAATCAATGCAGCGTACGCAAAGGGGCTGGGAGTAATTTTGGTTGTCAGCTCCTTTAAGTAGTATTTTATTGCCTTGTCTGCCGTAATCATGCGCTGTCACGCGGCTGTGGACGTGGCATAAACAGTGTGGGTCTCCACGTGCGCTCAGCAGCCAGTCACTCTACCATACAAAAAGTTAGATAAATGCACCTGTCTGACTATCTATTTTCTCCATAGTAAATTCTACATACATGCGCACAAGCTTTTCAGACGCTGAAGACAAACTCCTGGTTCAGGTCGCTTTTCAGTTCGAGAGAGAGGGCCTTCGTATCACCTGGGAGTATGTGGCCCGGCGGATGAAGATCACGCGCGCTGCACGACAGCTTCGCCTCCGGCTTGCCAGCCTAAA